ATTAAAGCATCATTTAATTTGCCTTTCAAAAAAAAAAAAAGCATCATTTTATTGTCCTATTTTGTGATAAAACTTTAGTTACCAAAACCTTGTTAAACATATAAAACTATTGTTTAAGGGGGGGAAAAAGAATAAAGAAAAACAAACCTTTGTAATTTGCAATGTTTCTTTGGATTATAGGATTGGCCTGCAATGTACTTTCATTAGTAACTCGGGCAATGATTAAATCAAACAAGGATTTTGTTATATAAAAGAGTTATAATGGATTAACTCCATGGAAATAAAGCAAAACCTTAAAGTAACAATGATTCTACCTTTCGAAGTCTTCTAAATTTCATCTCATCTGGGTGTTCAATCACATTCCTGCCAACGAAAGAAAACAATTCCAACTTTTATCAGTAATTTAGTTCACAAAATTAAGAGGAAAAAATGCTAGGCAGAATAAGTAAGAACCAAAGCATATATCAGGACTTGCAAGAGGCAGGCTTAGAAGCACAGAACCAATGTTTCATTGTGTATTAAGGAAAGGAAAGTAGAATCAAAGGACAGTCAAGCAAGTGGCATACCCAATTATCTTAAATAGAGTTTGCAGGACGATAGTTGCCTCGCTGGGATTAACTTCAGCTTGCAACATATCAATGGCCTTTTGCAGACGACTGCAAACACCAGTAACAGAGTCTTGGATTCTTTGTAATTCTTGATCATCTGGATCAGGCTCATCTATTTTCAGATCGGATATTCCCTGTTGTGGCACCAACTTATCATCTGGATCAGGCTCAGCTTGTCCTATTTCATTTGCTTTAGATTCATCAGGATCAGGTTTTTTATGAGCTTGGTTGAAATAGGCTCGATCTTCCATGGTTTCAGTTGTTACATAATGACCCTTATCATGTCTTGCCATGTTTGCACATCCCAAATTATTCCATTGTGCTTCTCCATCATCAGGATCTGGTTCACCTATAGTATCACGTGTCTGAATCTTAGTGTCCAGAATCTCCATCACTGCAGGTTCAACTACATTTCCAAAACTTGAAGAAACTCCAGACTCATCAGGATCAGGCTCTTCACTTGAACTCATGGCTGCTGATTTCCCAAGAGTCTTCTGAGAATTGTTTTTGGTAAATTCAGAATGCAGTTTCAGTTGCAAAGTTTCACCATGTTGCAAATCATCTGGATCAGGTTCAAACTTGTTTTGATTGCTAGAATGGTCATCAGGATCTGGTTCATGAGCAAGTTTGCCCTGAGCCCTAACTGGACCTTCAATGTCTACATTTTCATTTCTGTTGGGCACAATTGACCCAGAATCATCAGGGTCAGGCTCATCATGTGTTTCAGATGCTTCAACATTGTTGGCAGAAGCATTTACCAGACGGCGATAAGCAGCAGCTACAGAAGAGGAACGGGCATTTTCCAACAAAGTTGACATATTTCCACCAACCTTCTGAGAACTTCTTCCATCTTCAACATAAACATCTTCTTCATGATTTTCTAAATGTCTTATTCCACTTAAAGTGTGGCCCCTAGATTTGGTCCAATCTAAGCTAGCAGCTTCTTCATTCAGCTGTGAAAAAATAATATTAAATCAAGACAATGCTTTTTATATTGAACCAAAAATATTTGACAACGGAGCACTATTTCCTACACTTAAAAGCATGCACAGAAAGGTAATTTTACCTGTTTATCAAGGGCATAGAAATTTGAATCATGTTCAGAGAATACCATATGAGCCTGAAATAGACACAAGCACAGTTCTCAATTAATTGTTTGCTAATTTTTCCCAGCCCACCTCCTCCCCCTCTTCTCCCTCCCTCTATTTTTGGAATTATAATAGCATAATCATTAGTAACATCAGAGAACTGATAACTGAAATTAGTTCAATAATGCTTACAAGTTCATGTAGAAGAGTTTTTTTGATGCTCTCGTATTTCCTGAATCCCTTGAGGTCATCAGTTCGAAGACGCAGAGATATCTCCTCTCCATGATTCTGAAAAAGCAAATAAGGATCAACAACAGAGATAAAGAAAGGCAAGTAGAAGAGTTGTAAGATTTGTTATTCTAGTTCTTACCTTGTTAAAACCTAGAATGCATTTAGGACTCACACCAACATAACCAACTGGAGCCATCTCAGTCATTATTCCAACACGCCATCGATGCTTTGCAGAAGGGCAATCACAAAATAGTTTATCAGAGCTTACAAGAGTCAGTTAAGCAATCAGTAGTACAGATAAATATGGATCCCATGGTACCTTGTTCATGATAGCAACAATTCCAGGGTCTGAAGCAAGCATATGCATCTTTTTTAATGCCTCAGAAGATGGAGGGTGTAACTGGTAACAAACAGTAACCAGGATATCAGAATAAGGAATAACCAAAATATTAGAATAATGAATAATAAGTTCCAAAATAATTATTTGTTATTTCCTTAAATTCAAATTCTTACAAATAGCACATAATGATGAAATAATTTAAGATGCCCGATGCATTTTATATATACCTCTTCATGTATAAAATCAGAAATCTAGAGCCAAAAATCACTTGTCCGTCAAACAGTGACTACCTTTTTTACAGCACTGCTGTCTGTGACACCAACCTTATACAGTATTAACCATAGTTTATTCAATCCCTTGAAATTTACTAATAGTCTTTGTGCTACCAACACCCCTCCTATCCTCATAGCCCCTCAACTTTAAAATTTGTGCATTTTTGTGTAAACTATAAATTATCAATATATTTAACTAGATGAACTGATAAACAAAGATTGCATCAATGCATTTGCTCAATTTCCTCAGATACATATGGTCAACAGTAATGAAGTCAGTATGAACCTCTACTCCAGGAATTTGAAGTGTGCGAAAGTCACAAAAGATATAAGGTCCTTGAGGAAGTCTCAGAGAAGCACGAGGTCCATCTGACATTCGCAGCCTCAGTCTTCTTTCCTCTTCATTGAATCCAGCTATCCTCAGGTCCACCTTTGAATTCTGTATAACTTGGTCAACTTCATCCTCAGGTACGCCCATCATCCTGACAGATTTTCCCTGAAATTATAAGAAACAAAGTATAAATTCGCATAGAATTTGCAAGAAAGTGTGAAAACTCAGTTAGACAAGTCCACATCATCATTGCTTTTTAATTACTTTCATCTTTAACCATAATCACTGGAGTCACTCCTTTAAAACAATTTCAATCGAAGGCCATTATGGGCATCCTTGTTTTAACTATGACTAAAAGGCAAGAACAAAACCAAACAAATAAGTTGCACTTGAACTGAAAAGTAAAAAGACATTTTTGGGCTTCAAAAACACATAAAACCAGTTTCAGCTGAATAAATTGTGGCATCTATACTTCGTTTCCTACGTCATAGAGATCAGAGAATTAGCAAATACATCAATTGGCTTTCATGGCAGTGACATCCATGGTGCGAGTACCTCATCTATTAGCACCAAACAGTAAACATAGTCATGAATATAAATTATGCAAGAAACAGTAAGTACCTTGACAATCGAAGCCTCTTGCAAACTCAAGCATGAGTGCTCATCCGAGAAAGGGTGCAGCATTCTTGAGCCTTTGCCCGACAATAAAGGAAGAATGAGCCGCATAGTATCTGCCTTAACATCAGTCAACTTCTGTAGCTCATTTCCAAGCTCCTTGAGATATGCACCAGAATTCATTTCCACCACATACTTGTTGCCTCTCCATAAAACTGTCACATTCACCATATTTTCTTGCTCTTCCATTTTGCACTATAACAACAAACAAAAAAAACAAAAAGAAAAATAAGAACAACTTTTAATCACTCTCTAAAGCAAAAAACCATTCATAGTCATAAACCTTTTTATCCCCAAGCAAATAGTTGACTTAAAATTCGAATCCTTTTACATAAAGGACGTAAAGTGAACAACCAAACTTGAGTATTCAGATTTCTATTTACATTAAAAACACAAAATTTATTGCGGAATTCAACAAATTCTTACATGCAAATTAAACCTTAATATCAACAATTAAGGAAGATTAACGACAATTAACGACACCCAGACGGAGAATTTTGAAAAATTTATTTACCTGATGAGTTGCTGGGAATTTTCTCTTTCTGAGAAGGGAATATTCTTCTTGAAATTTGCTTAGCATAAATAAAATATCAGCAAAATTTTGCAGGCAAGGGAGTTTCGGTTTGCTTATATAGGCACGGGGGCGTAGAATCAGAGGCGGTATATTTTAGCTATTTTAATACGTGTATGCTAAAATGCACGGTTATGCTCGGTGCTTGACAGTTTGTTACGCATTTGCTGGCGTATGGACCATGATGGCCATTGGGAGGAATCTACTAGAAACTGAAATGTGTTTGGGAACAGGAGTGAGTGGATCCTTTGTTCAGGATCGGATATCTATCCCGGCACAGCTGTAAAACGGAATTTTAATATTTCTAGGAGAGGAAAATTGCAAGTTCTTTTTTTTTTTTTTTTGAAAAAAGAAGTTTTGATTTGGAATTTACACAAACTAGTGAGGTGACGCTACGTTGTGGATTGCCTTTTTCTTAAAAAATATAATTAAATTAGTATAATCATTAATATCGGGTCATAATAATGTAAAAAAATATATATTAAAATGTAAAGTAAGTATAAAAATGGAAAAAAATTTAATATAATTATATAAAAGCTAAACTTTTAATCTAATGATTATTGCCACTATGTTGAAGAGTGGAGAATCAATAATCCATGGAAGAAATGTTAGATTTTCTTATAAAAATTAAAATATGAATTCATATTATTTATTTTTTGTATTTTATCAAAATTAAATTAAAATATATGAAACGATAATATGATAGTTTATAATATGATCTAATAGTGGGTTAAACTTCAATATTACATATAGATTTAAAAATGTAAGCTTATATTAAAAATCTTAATTTTTATTATGAATAAAATCAAATTTTCTATCATCTGTAACCGTATAAAAATTTAATCCATTGAAGAGTAACAAAAAAAAATGATATTAACCATTAATCTGATTAGTATTATTTTTAATATCAAATTATAGATACATTTTTATGTTTTAAATTCTTATTATAATACATCTCGCATTAATATAAATTTATTTATAAATAGAGTCTTGCGAGAAGCCCTCTAAATTACAAGTGCAGTACTGTGATCAAATGATTCTCTTCAATATTCTTTTGCAACAGTAGATGTGTTGGTGAATTCATGCCTGCACATTTTACAATAATCCGGTCATAACTCACAACTCAGCTTACTTACTCATAGATATTTAGAATGTTAAGGTGCAACTTACTGAATTTTACGTGAAAGTTGGTAAGAAGCAGTCACAAACATGGCAAAACTAACACCGAAGAGGTTCCAATTCTTCTGCAATTCTCTCAACATGGTTTGTAATTAGGGAAATTTGACAAATTTTCATCAAGATATAGACTTTGCAATGAGCATATACACATACCGGGGTAATTACGGTGCTGTACTTCGCCCAGATGAGTCCACTGCAGGCTAGAGCTGAAAACCCCCACACAAAATAGGGAATGAAACAATTGCTACTGAAATTAACATTCTCCTTAGGCTACTCTATGACAGAGAAGAAACCAAGCAAATAGTGAGAGACCTGCTTGCTGAGGGTAAGAGACCGTTTCAGCTGGCTTTGTTGAAATGTCAACAACATTAGCAATGTTTACAGCCCATTTGAAAGTTGGTGCCCAGAAATGAACTGCAATTGTGTTTTAGGAAAAATGAAAATTGCAGTATATATGTAATCAAATTGTAAATGACTTTTTTCTTTACCAAATATTGGAAATGGTTTTGGATTATACTTAATTGTCAAAAGTCAAACAACTTTGATCTCAGTACATTCATATCCCAAATTTATTTCTATAGCATTTTATGATAACCGGGTAGAAAGATTGTGCCTTAGATATGGAGGAGACTGTCTTGTCTGTGTGATATATCTAGCAGGCAGAAAATCTTTATTTTAACTGAAATAAATAGTTGAAGTTTCGAATCTAAATGCTAAAGAAATGTACAACAAATTCAGAAAAGAGATAATCACATCTTCAAAGAGGAAGCATCAATTAATGGGTCACTGAATCAAAACTGAAATATTCAAGCAAATTATCAATAAAACTTCACTACTCAACAGTTCTAATATAACTAAGAAAAGGGTGAGTTTAGAGAGAAATGAAGGAAACAAACTGGTTTTTGGTCCTGCAGGGTGGTTGTAGAATGCCTGAAACTTGGAAAAAGCCATGAAACCTTTCTATGCGATATGGAAAGGATGAAGAGCGAGCCGGTGGAGCTAAGATCTGATTATCTGCCTCGAAGTTTATGTGTTTAACAGTTGACTTATTGACATATATTTCTGTTGATCTTAAGCGGAAATTAAGAGGCAAATTCGTAACAGAAGATGATGATGATGATGATGATTTTGATCTAAGCCTAGAGGCCAAATCAAAGAAGAGGAAGATTGACTGGAGAAGAGAGGAATCAACTAATTTCTATATTGTTCTTGAGTGGAAACTTGCATTGGATATTGTTTTAAATGATAAAGCTAAGTTTAAAAATTCGATAATTAACTCATATAGGGAATTTTTGGTTTAGCTGCCTAACCAAGGAGAAATAGATTTTAAACAAGTGGATTATTTCATTCAATAAATTTAAGCTTAGACATGTAGACTTTCAACTTTCAAGTGTTGGGATCTCAACCTAACGTTCCTCATTCATCGGCCGACGACTTTCGACGAATCTTCATCTTCTTGGCCGTATTTCTTATGTCTCACTAAGAAATTTTGAGCCTATTATATAGCACTGAAATCGTTCCTAAATAATAATTAATATATCAAAAAAATATGTAATGAAATGATAATATATTTAACGTTATTTGTTGGGTTTTGAATTCGAAGTAGAGTGTTAAGTTAAAAAGCTTCAGGAAATAAAACAAAAACTAATTATAACAAATTTAAAGAAGTGCTAGGATCACTCGTCATTTCAAAAACAAAGCCTAAAACTGGATCTGGGCCTATCAAAAAAGAATGATTATTGGCACTGAGTGTGCATATACATTTGTTTTATTTCGAATAGAAAAATTAAGGAAAAGAAAAGAAAACCAAACCATGGGGTTTTGAGATTACTAAAGATACTACTTAGTGAGCATATTCTGAAAAAACCACATAAATCACATTTCCAAGATGTGTATTAGGTCCAGTCAAAATTTTATTCCCAAATCTCTTATTCAAAGGAAAAATATATAGAGATGCAAATTACAAAAATAAGTTTTTTTAATGGGTTATTGCAAGTAGAATAATATAATATTAGGATGGTATCCATAGTTATGTTACGAAAAAAATCACGAAAAATATAAATTATATTAGAGTGAATTACAATTTTATATCTCCAAAAGAATTTGTAAAGAAAGTTATATTGTATTAATTCAAATACTCTATCCTTAATCCGTACCTCATTTTATGTCTTTTCTGTCTTTTTAATTACTAATGAATACATGTTTGGACTTAATCTTTTTATCCCTTATTTCCTCTTTTCTTCCTCCATCAGTAGATGGTTCATAAATGGTGATTTTTTGCTTGTTTGTTCCGCCAAGAAAAACATGAGCTTGTCTTTTCCTATCTTCATCGATGCAAGATAAGATTTTTCTTTTTTTTTTGGCCGTGAGAAAAGCAACATAAACCCAAATTCTACTCTCAGGATAACTAAGAAGGGATCAAATTTTACTGTGAGACCAATAAAAAGGAAAGAAAACAAAGAAAGCACCAAACCCAAATTCTGCTCTCAAGCTTAGAGATCCCTTTCTCTTCTATTCTGTTGCTTATAAATCCTAAATAAATAAATTCCTTCTTCTCACTTATCCCAATTCACCACGCCTATCTCTTCCAAACAGTTTTATTATCAGTTCATGAATCTCAAATTGGGTGGTCGTAAGGGAGATTAACAGGGAGGGATAATGATATAATTGCCTCCTACTGTCTGTTTAATTTGCAGATCCAGTTGATACCAAATTGTATCTTTTATCGCAACATCAACTAGTAAATTTTTTGCAGAAAGGCATTATCTACTTACTGATATGGAGGAACAATCATTTTGTGAGAGAAAAGAGGAAATGTGAGAAAAAAAATAAAAAGATTAAATCCAAACATGTATTAATTAGTAATTAAAAATATAGACACGTGTTACTCTGTCAAAAAAGGGCACGGACTGGCATAGAGGATTAGGATTCATATTGCATTAGTTAACTACATGAATGTATAGGTTTTGCTGATAAAAAAAAAGATAAATAGGTATTGATTAAAGATAGTTATTTACTTTGATTTCAATTACTAAAAGTTGTTCCTAAATATATGGTTTTAAAACGGAACTTAACATAAGAAGATAATAATCTTGTTAAACATCTAGTAATTTTTTTCCATTAAACATATATTGTTCAAATAAAATGAATAACATTTACAATTTGAAGGTTTCCATTTTTTGTTAGATGATGTATATCAACTTTCTAGATGCAAGACTTGTACTTAGCTAAATGTTAAGGAAATATAAACTATTACACAACTTTAAGATATATAATTCTTGTTGGTAGAGGAAAAGATGAACTGATATTAATTGAAGATAGTTATTTACTCTGATTTCAATTACCGAAAACTTGCACCTATATATATGGTTATAAAACAATACTTATCCAAAGAAAATAATAATCCTATCAAAGATTGCTAGATGTAAAATAAAATATGGGTTCTTTTCAAAAATACCCTTCATAAATAAGATGTTTTTGAAAATAGCTATCTCTATAATTTTAATTATTTTTAGGCAAGAGAAATTAATTTTAGATAAAATTACCTTTAATGAAATTAACTCATATATTTAGGTTTGCATTTCAAACCAACTTTTTCTTGTTGTACCATTCATCTCTAGAGTATTCTTTGTCTGAAAGAAAAATCTTTAAGTATTTTGAGTATTTTAGAGTAGTTTTTAATACATAAAAAAATAAACTTTTGAGCGTTTTGAGTATTTTAAGTATTTTAGAGTGATTTTTGATACATGAAGAAAAACCTTTGAGTATTTTTCGTCAAGTAGGCATATGCGTTGATTATATTGTTAAATGGAATATGGTGTGTTCTTTGAAGTTGTTGATTTTGTTAAATGAAATTCAGTTATTTTGGTGGTTTTTAAGTATTGTGTAACCGATTTTTGGGCATTGCATGATTAATTTTTAAGCATTGCGTGATTGATTTTTAGGTATTGTATGATTAATTGATATGGCATTGCATGACTGGTTGATAAGCATTGCGTGACTAGTTAATAAGACCTTGTATGACTAGTTGGTAAGGTATTGCGTGGCTATTTTTTAGGCATTGTGTGACTTAGACATTGTTTAAAAATCAGTCACGCAATACTTACAACCTAATCATGCAATACTTAAAAATCAAGTACGTAATACTCAAAAACCAGTTACATAATTATTAAAAATCGGAGATGCAATGATTAAGTCACATAATGCCTAAAAATCAGTCTCACAATACTTTAAAACCAATGACACAATGTCTAAAAATCAATAGTGAAATACTTAATAACTAATTGATTTGTTTGCTCACAATTAGGTTTAAGTTGCCAAAGTCATATAGTGTTTTAATTTACAAGTATGTCTAATCAATCTCAATCCCCCAACTTTAGGGTTTTATGAACATACACCAATAAACCTAAGAACCTAAAACACATACTTTGAGGTCATCTCTGCTCTTTGGGATAATGAAAAAGAGTTAGATGGTGAAATAGACAGTATTTAGCAAGAGAGAAATCAGGATTTAATTTTAAAATTTTTGTCTGGATGGTTGGATACAGAAAACTAAAACTATTTTAATTTGTTTGAAATTATTTAAAGGGCATTGTTGTCAAGTCATGTTAAAAATATCCTGAAAATAGTTAAAATTATAATGAATGATATATTTTGAATTGAGCCTATGAGAAAGATTATCTCTCACAATTTTCTCATAAAATATTAAGAAATGAGAGAGTATATAACCTGTATTATTGGCAAATTAAGAGAATATAGAGTAATAGTATAATATAAGGATCCCATCAATATAAAATAGTTATTAATTTCTAATAGTATTTGTCTTTTATATATAAGATGAATGATTAAAGGTTGTTAAATTCAATTGATTTGTTTATTCAATGATAATTGTGTGCTATTTATATTGAGAAATAAGTAAACTTTCTTAACTTTTTTATTTTATTCAATGAATTGGATGGATATTTATTGGAATCTAAATGTTTATATACAAAAGAGATGCCTAAGTACTATGGATTTAGGTTCATGCAGAGTAAAAGGATACAGACGAAAAATAATATTAAATTGCAGTTGATAAATATTAACTGAATCTATCCTTTAAGCATTAAAAGTTAGAAATTATTATTTTCAAGTATTTTTTACTAAACTAAATAAAAATAAAAAAATCCTTCAAATGTCAAAAACAATGCAGTTTTGACATAAGGTATACAAAAAAAAAATTAATTCAATTAAGAATAACAAGTGTCAACCAATTCATCCAGTCAGTTATCTTATTTAAAACAGTACTTATCCAAAAAAACACTAATACTATTAAAGATTGTGAAATATATAATAAAATATTAAAAAATGAGAGAGTATATAACTCGTACTATTGACAAATTAAGATAAACAGTTGTAGAATATAGAGCAATATTATAATGTAAAGATACTATCAATATAAACTAATTACTAATTTCTAGTAGTACTTGTCTTTTATATATAAAATAAATGGTTAAAAGTTATCAAATTCAGTTGATTTGTTTATTCAATGATGACTATGTGCTATGTATATTGAAAAATAAATAAATCTTCTTAACGTTTTTATTTTATTCAATGAGTTGGATGGATATTTATTAAAATTTAAACATTCATGTATAAAAAAGATATCTAGATACTATGGATTCAAGTTTATGTAGAATCAAAGGATACAGACAAAAAATGATATTAAATTACAATTAGTAAATATTAAATAAATTTATCCTTTAAGCATTAAGAGGTAGAAATTATTATTTTCAATTATTTTTTACTGAAATAAATAAAAGTAAAAAACAAAAACCCTTTAAATGTAAAAAACAACGTAATTTTGACATAAAGTGTGAAAAAAAAATTAATTCAACTGAGATGACAAGTGTCAACCTATTGACTCAATCTGTTATCTTACTTTTATATATGTTATAGATTATAGATATTATTTACAATTAATTATGGTTGAATATTTAATACTAAGTTCGAAAAATTGTCATCCTTTTTTTTGTATTTTTTTAATATGTGCTTGTAGAAATTAAATTTGCCCAATTGTTGGTTAGAAAATTTGGACTGAAATTATATAATATTTGAACAATCAATTAATGATGTGTTTTAATAGATAACTAAATTTTGATATATGCAATTGACTTATTATGTAATTAATCAAGCAATTATGTGTTTTTTTTTTCATGAAGTTACATGTACAAGTGAAAATTATAGTTACATTTAAATCACTCTTCATTTATATGATATTGCATCTGATATGAAAAATTTAAATGAAGTAAAGTAAATATTTAATAAACCAATCAATAAACAAATATAGGTTGGACAAAATCTAACATAAAGGCTTTTTTTTTTTTTGAAAAGCATTCTTAATGGATTCTTCACTTCATCAATGATTTATATAAAGCTACCCAAGCATCGCAGTAGAGATTCAAAAAGGACAATGAGCTTCAGACGCAGGTGCTTTTTTGTTTCCCTTCCCTCCTTGTCAAGTTCACCAACCCAATTGGCCAAAACCTTCAAAAGAAACCTCCTCAGAGTGCTTAATATAACACTTGTCACGCAACACATTGCCTTGCAACCATAAACCCCTCATTCGTCCCTCAATTCCTGCCCTCGTAATTGCAATGCTGAGTAGGTACATATAGTTCCTTATGAAAGCTGTAGCAAATGCACATCTAGCCTAACAAAGTAGCGGAAAGAGGTTCAAGAATATGCCCCCATTCAGCAAGTCAATTCTAAACATAGTATCTAGAGTCAAACCATACCTCTAAGTACCCCAAAGTAACGTAGATCCTTGATCTTAACCAAGTCGATCCCACCATCAAAAAGACAATTTCTCACAAAAATGGTGTCCACACATCACAACGACCTTCTCCAAGTGATCTCCCTATTTAATAGTAGGGGCTTGCTAATAGACCTCACCTTTTCTCTTTTGGTTTTTTCCTTTTTTTCATTTTGTGTTCATTTTTCTTTTTCTTTTCTTTACACTCTTCATTTTCTCTTTTTTTTCCCTTTCCTATGTCCTATACTTATTTGATATCTTTTCATTTTCTGGTTACTATAATCTCCCCATTATTTATACTAAGCTTACCCCTTTCCCTCATATCATGCTTCCCCCTAAAACCAACATTATTTTTCATTCTACATAACCCCCTTTCCCTTCATCCACAACCTTTAAAAGTACCGCACATTAAATGCATTTACAAGATTTCCACAGAATTCCCACCCTTAACTTGAATTTGCTTGGTAGCTCCCCAGAAAAGCCTCTTTCATCTCCATCCCCCCTCACTTTCACCCCCACTCCTCTCTCACCCACTTAAGCCTATTGGGGCTTGATCATGCTAGATGATCATACGGAGCGAAATTGAAGCAACTTATATCTTATGAATTATCATATAGATGATTTCAAAATGTCACTTGTTTATTTTTATATCACACGATGCTAATATGGGATGTGAAAAATATCATATAGTTATATTATTGTTTCATATTAACATGTCATACCATCATTCATATGACATGTTAACAAATTATGTTAGTGTCATATGACATAGAATGACAGGTAATATTTTGACTAAGTAAACTGTTACTTATGAGAACTTATTGGATTCAAAATAAAAATATAAAAATTTGATTGAATGTAATAAAACGTGTCATGTCATCATCCATATGACATATTAGCATGTAACGTCAACATCACGTGATATAAAATGACAAATAATATTTTGACTAAATAAATCAATTGTTATAAAAACTTATTTCATTTAAAATAAAAGTATAATGATTTAATTGAATATAATAAACTAATAACAATTTATTTAAAATTTCATAAATAATTTAAGAATTTTTTTAAAATAGTATGCAAAAAAATTAAATTAAGAAAATTGGGCTCAAGTGCACAAGGACACAAATGAGACTAAAAATTTTTAGTTAATTCGATACCTAACTGAATTAATTGATATAATTCAGTTATCAGTTAATCAATTATAACATATAGCACGATTGATTTGATTAACTAAAAATTTTAATTTAATTATTTCTGTTTTAAAAATTTTGTAATCAAATTTACCAAATCGACCATTTGCTTATCTTTATCTTTCCCTTCTTCCATATTTTCACTTTTTTCTCTTTTCTTAACTTGGTGGGTAAGTTTCCGTGATGTTTTGATTTTTAAGGTGGGCTACTTTTTACAATTTTACATAATTTTAATTTAGTTTCATGAGATTTAGAGCTAATATCTTATTTTGTCCATTAGAATGCATGCCCATTACAAATACGCTGATATGCAACTTTCTACATTTCAATATTCAGCTAATGCTCTGCATTGCAATTTGTACCAAACTTGTGGACTTGGGTGCAAAACATCTTTAACCAATTGTATTTATTTATTTATGATAGGTTACAAGACTTATGGCAATCGATCAGAATATCACATACCATGTAATTTTTTAAAAAAAAGAAGACAAAAATCGCTATGAAACAAAACAAAATAATTCTATTCCATTGAATGAATGAATGAAATGGATCTGATTGGCTACAGCCAGTACAAGAGTTTTGCTCAAGAATAGGAATAGTCGCCCATTATTTTGCAGAACAGCATATGTATGTAAAGACATGACTTATCATTATTCAAGGGCTTCTACAACCACTTCCAAACAGTTATCGACCCACTTCCATCCCCTGTGAAGAAAAGGAGAAAAGGCCCTCTATGAATCATATGAATCACTCTAACTTCTCGTTTTGGATATAACCTGCCTCTCTCTGTGAACCTGGAACACACACACAAGATAAATTTTCATTAATCAATATCCAAAAGGAACTTGTGGAGATAACAAAGCTTTTAACAAAACCTAACTGGAACATGGAGAATTGTATTCACGACAGTGTTGTCATTGCACGAGCACAACAAAACTGGTTTAGTCTCTGCATCATTCATTCCACAGAGTGCAAGCACACCCGGCATGCAAAAGCGGTTCATACTCATGCTCAACGACAGATCCATTATCACTGTTACTGCAAAGAAAGCCAACCCCAGATTAAACAAACATAACAGAGAAATGCATGCAATGCATTAATATTGACTATATAAACTGAATTGATTAATGAAAGCAACCTAAAATTCAAGCATTTTTCCCTGTCATTTACTAGTAGTAAACCAGATGCGCTTCTTTAAGCATCATAATAGGATAAAAATATGGCCTACCAATGGGGCACCTCCGCCTTGCAAAATTATGGAGCTCCCATAACCATTCAACATTTTGGAAATAAAAGAGGAACACTATGTATACTACTACTTTTTGGCTTCTTCTTGCTGTTTGTATTCCAGTCCTCATTGTTTTCTTAGTCAACCAGAGTCCTATCTGCTGCAAATTGCTCATCTCTCAGCCTCATGGGTCAAAAGCCCATCTCAGAAGTTCGGAGTTTCAAACAAATGCTAATCCTAACAATAAAGAACTCATCATTTTAACCAAGCTAAGCCTACACAATGGCCGTACATGCACCCCCACTTCACCTCTTCTCCTTTTCTCTCTTTCCTAGAGAAAAACATAAATGCATATTATTTTCCTGCTAATACGGAAGGCCTTTCGATACCTTGGGAGATTCAGTTTATAAATAATGTGCTTCTAGATTCCTTGACTCTCCTAGAAGTTTATCAATTATAAAGCATTCTGATAACAGCAGTCAATCACCCAGATGAGAAGTGACTGTTTTCCTTGTTCCTAGTTCCTAAAGAATACTTTGACTGCAAGACACGTTTAGGGTGACGCTCTTCATCCATTACTAACCATTATTGTAAACACAGATATAATAAAACTCAAGTAATTAAGCACACTGACAATGATGGTAAATATACACATAAAAGTCAAGTATTGAACACAATTAGATTACATAGCTAAAAACAAGAAGAAACACTAGAAATCAAATGGCAGCTGAGTAAGCATGGGTATGAGAAAAAGAGCCGAAATCGATCATCATCATCATCATCCTATCCGATTAATTCTTAAGAAAGGAGGAGAAAGCAAACCTGAGAGTGAGAGATAGCTAGATTTGGGGATCTTGCAAAGCCAATGACGAGAACCGGTGAAAGGGAAGCACAAAACAGAGCTTGGATTTGTTGCTGAGCGAATGCGATTTGGGAATATTTGGTGGATTTAGATGATAATTGATAGATGAATTTGGGGGTTTCACGGGCAAAGCTGCTGAGTTTATACAAACAAGCGAGCTGGTGTTTCCTACCAAAATTAGTGATACTGTAACGTACAACGGTCCGGAATCATAACCAATAGTTGGTTGACATGTGACTTCTTTGATTTTTTTCTTTTTTATTTTTCATATTTTAATGCTCAAGACATTTTTAATATTTTCTATTATATTATTTAAAATTTTGTTGGCACCTAGAAAATCAGGAGAGAGAGAAGAGAGAAGAGTTATTATGGGTTCAATAATAATAATAATTATTATTAGTAGAAAGAGTCAAATTTAAATAAAAACACAAACATATCTATAAATTTAATTTTTTATTTAAAAATATATTTTAAAAATTATTAATATAAAATTGGAACCAAATCTATTCGTGCTTGGACTTAATGTCCAATCCTAAATGGAGAAGTGTAATATAAATATTATGCTAGTTATATATCTATATATCAGTAAATTGGATTCCAGTGATATGAGAGCATCTTGGATTCATCTGAAACTTACATCGTTTGAGTAAATAAGTGGACAATTTTATTTTTATTTTTATTTTTATTTTTATTGTTAAATAATTAACAACTCCATTAACCAATAGCTTCAGAAGAAACCAAGTTCACATGCTGCTGAAGTCTTTATAAATGAGAACAGGACACAAAGACGTGATCAAAATAGAACTCAGCAGTACAGTTTATGATAGATGAATAAGAAAGCAAACAGCATGAAAGCAGGAATGCAAATGTAGAAACTCTTCCAAACAACAGAAAACAAAAAACAACAAGGAATGGAACACTGGTAAACTAAGGGTGCCAACCGAAGATCTTAGAACCATGGGAGCTTCAAAAGCTTGGAAGATGTTAATGAGTTCTGCAGCAGCATGCATGATGTTAATGTCCAACTACAATCATCTCGGACGATGCCTTCATGTCTTTGACAACCTTGAAAGTATCATCGAAATCGTCATCGTCTTCCAAATTATCGCCGCACCGTTGGCTGTCGTCCGGATGTGCACGAGCACATTCTTCAGCACTATTATCAGCTTTGCCAGCTTTAACCAAGAAGGAGCAGACCACAAGCGTCATGAAGCAGAAAACAATCATTCCTCTGGATATGGCCATTGCTTCTCTGGATGCTCAAAAGAAGTAATTAATTCTCCCTGAATCTGTACTGTTGATGGATTGTGGTGAATACAGAGTGTTCGTCTGTTTCTTTTGCGTTTGCTTATGAATGGGAATGCAACAGTGGAGATTTAAAGGAAGCTTTAGTTTACTATTATAAGGAATAATATGAGTTTGTGGCCTTGGTGATATTGTTCGAGTGAAGTTGAGCTGGTCTTAAGGTAGACTGAGCAAATTTTAAGCTTACAGTTCCAAGCATCGTAACAAGTTTAACACTTGGACTAATGCTGTTGCTTCACCATTGCAACACCCACAAAATTAGATCTATCTATCTCATCGCCCAAAATGTGGGGGAAATTTTTAAAGAGATTTATTAAGTCTTGCAACTTATACTGAAGAGTGCAGAAACCGAGTTTGAGGCAATTTCACAAAAGGAACCTAGTACCAGTGGATTTGACTATTACAACATTAGAATCAAGCTGGAGGATTTGTGCATTTTTTCCTTTGATATGTGAGAATCAGGAGATCTGATACATCATGATGTGCCCAACTCTAAACTTTAAGCCAGGGGGCAAAACGATTTTTGTAACCAAAATGAATTTATCATAATGTATTGAATCATTTAGTTGAATTAGACCTTGACGTCCCTAATTGACTCTTGGTTCAATTTTCCAATGACTTAAATAAATTTAGAAAGATGTATTTTTAATTGCTCATACAATGCAATATAAACACCAACTTAGAAAAACATTCAGTTCTAGTATAGCATTGCGTATGGCCTAAATTTGCCATAATTGTATTTACTTCACTAATCCACTGTATGGTAAAGTTTCAGCCACAGCAAAATACCAAGACAAACAAATTGTGCAGTTGGATGATGCAAGTTCATTGATTCTCATTACAATTTCAAACAATTAGCAATATTTGAACGTATGACGTTTGTTGTGCTAGCTGTCATCTCTGCGCATAGCTAAGAATGGTGGATGCTGCAATCATACTTGGAGTATAAATGGGAGGTCTCCACCTCATTCCCTGCTGTTGCAAGTTATTTACGGTTCTGTTTGAAGGGCATATAAGTTCCATGACCTTCTCAGCAGCCACAACTTGTTGCTGTTGGAGTACTATATTGTTCATTAATTCCCTGCAAAGAGTCAAATCTTCAGGTCAAGTTCACCAAGTTAAGAATCATGACGCTGCATTTTATTGACACTGAAAATATCAAAAGATGGCATTAATCTCAATACTAAAATAAACACTTTTTAAATTTTGCTCGATTACAAGTTAGAATTTGCAAAGTATAATCCATGTGTGTAGCATAAAAATTCTTACTTGAGCAAGGATGCTAGTTTTGTGGGCGTACATGCTTGAAATAGAGCTTCAGGAATAACAGGTGAATCCAGAAGGATATTGGGAAGTGAGACGTATGGTTTCTTTGCTTTGTACCGAATCACCCATTCAGTAAGGAAATGGGCTCGATACGTAACTAAACAAGGTAACCTTGCAAGCTGCAACTCCATAGCAACAGTTCCTGAAGTACATAAGGCAACTCGGCTTGCCTGCAAGAAACTAATAAAGTTACAATATAATAGCTTTCAAGTCCGTGAAATTTAAATTACTTGGGCACAAAAGCTTTCTTTCCAGGATCAAAGTCCAGATATACCTATTAACTCAGTATATCCATATTATCATTAGGTTCAGTAAACAAATAAGGCCACACCACTTCTACTATTACAATTTACATGAGTAACAATTGAAGCTATAATAGTATAAAATGCCCAAAATTCAAGTAGAAATTGAATAAGTAAATGCTTGAACCTGGAGGCAATTAATTTTACTTTTCAATATCTATAGTTGGAGTAGTCTGACGGCTAAAATCCATATAAGCCCACTCCTAATCCGGAGCTTGAAAGTTAAAACGAAGTTTACTTGCCAAAATATTAATCAATAATACACAATCTGCAATAACTAACATCAAAACTAAATCTTCTTAATAATCTCATTCAAGCCTTATTGATATTTTACAGGGAAATTAACCACCCATACAGTATCAAAAGATAATCAAAACAACAACATGAATTCCTTTGACCAGTTTTTGCAAGAAAAAAACCACCCACGTTTTATTGTACTGAATTAACTAATGATACTGGAAAGCTAAGTTACAAGAAAACATATTCTTTTTTCCTATGCATCCACCGCAATTCATAGATCAAACATAATGGAGATACTTTCAGCTCACATTCAACCAAATAAACTATTAAATTATGACAATTTTATTGAAATACAATCTGGAGTTCATGAAAGCTAAGTGACGAGGCAAAAACATGTTAAATCTTCCATTCAGTTGTGTAGTAAACTCATTCCACATGCAATCCAATATACATTACAACTGAGTACCCTTAAGTCGATGTGGTTGTGAATATCTCACTGAATCACAATCAACGATTGACATATAAAGTGAACTATGGAAGGACTTACATTGAATGCATCATATTTCAGGTGCGGGATTCCTCCTGGAATCAATATAGCAGGCACAGGCCACTTATGAATGGCTCTAGTAATGAAGTTGTCCACTAGCTGATTCGGTGCCACATGGATGACTGTCACCAACTCAGGAAAAGAGTCTTTTAAAAGTTTCATTGTGTTTGAAAAGATGGGAAGCATTCTAGTGACCTCTTGTAATCTGCTTCCAGGTAGCAAGGTAATGACTGTCGCTCCTTTAAAATTCAAGTAATTATGCATTAGGCAAGTTTTTTTTTTCAATATTGAATAAGAAAAAACAGACCATAGATAAGTATATATGCCCTGCAGAGACACACATAAACACATGCACACAAAAAAGAAATTAATATAAACAGAATCCAATTTCTGATACATTCCAGTGAACTTTTTCAGGTTTTCATTGATCCCAGCAGCTTTAAAAGAAGAACTACCACAGAATGATTATAAAAACAGTATAACCAGAGAGTTGGACCTTAGGTTAGATCATAGGTGTTGTAAATATCAGACTGGTAAAGGAAAAAAGGAAGGTGCACATTCTAGAAGTTCAGAGAGAAGGATTCATACTGATAAAAAATATAAAAGTGACACAACTTGAACTGAAAGAGTAAATCTCCAATGGAGCAACCTCCATTCTTCAGGGAGTGAATCATTCTCTAATGATAGAGTTCACTATCACCATCAAGGTAGAAATCAAAGGTTACACTATATAAGAGAAATAAAAAGCTGCTGAATTTCTATAACTTCATGATGCTCGTCTTCATATTACCTGAAGGTATGGCATATCTTTTTCGAAAATCTTCACCATTTCCTGTAATCTTCCACTCATGCAATGCGGTTTCCTTTCCCTAAACATAAATATTTCTTCTGTGTTAATGCTTAAATAACCATAAATACACATATGCTTAGGCACAAAAAAAAAAAACTCTTATAAAATAAAAACTATTTTGAAGAAAAATGATAGGGATAAAAGCTTGAACTGTCAATAAAGTTTAGGAAACTGAACTAACCCACAAGTACAACATTTTATAAGAAGATGAAATGATACCAATACACATCACAACAGTGGAAGATGAAATGATACCATGTTTAGTTCTAAAACATCTTCCAGAATGGGGTGACCAACAAAGGTTGCAGCCAGTCCTTTTGATTGACAACCTGCTTCCTCATTCGGAAGTATACACAACACATGATCCACAAATTCAGTTAGGCCTTTGAGTCTTTCTGCACCCCCTTTCCATGCCCAGAATGATGGTGATACATAATGAAAGTGTACTGGACCATCTAGCCCTTGCTGATTGTATCTAGCTGCAAAAAGCATTCCCTATGTTCCGGCCTCATATTATTGTACAGGCAATATGTAAATATGTAAATATTGATCCTAACTCCAAGAGGTTGGTAATATTACCCCGTAACTGCTTAAGGAGACGGAAAGAGAATCCCTTGGAGTCCACTGTCACAACCACATGAGGCTGGAACATGAATGCAGCCTCCACAGTTTCCTTCAACTTTACCTGAGATTTCATTAAATCCCAAAGGTCCATCCATTATTTCATTGCATAGTCTTATAGTAGAGGTTCAATTACATTGGTTTCAAACTACTTACTCTGAAATTATAGAGGTGTGGCAATAACTCCCAGATCCCCATTACCGCAATATTGTCCATGGGAAACAAAGTTTTCAAACCTTGCTTGGACATCATGGACCTTATAGATACAGAGGCATTGCTTTAGAATAAACCCCATCAGAATTCAAATTACTTGCATCAAAGTAATTGTGCCAACTTACCTAGTTACTTCATATAAGGACATACTCTTTTTTTTCAATTTTCTTTATTATCTTACTAAAACCGATACAAAGGATTAAACAATTTAAACACCTTTCGTGAGTCATTCACATGCTCCCTTTCCTTTTAAATTCTTTTATAACTCGCTTCCTTAGAGTACAAAATAGATTAAACCCCATACGTATATTTTTTATCAAGCTAAAGCTAAAAGTACAAAGACTCGTGGCCTTGAGCTTCATAATGGCAATCAGAAGTAATTCTCTTCCATTAGCATATGACTTCCGAGTTGTAGTTTAAAGTTCTAGCAGTTGGAGGTTATAAAAGAAACTATACCAGGAAAAATGTAAAGGTAATAATAAATAGCTAAAATGCTTACCCGCCTACACCAGAGAAACGGATAGGAACAGGAGAGAGCTTCTTTAAGGAAGCCATAAGACGCGAACCAATGGTATCTCCACTAACCTCTCCTGCAACAATGAATATTCTTAGCTCCTCTTCTTTGGCCGCTCTGCCAATTACGGATCTGCTTGAAACCCATAAATATTTCCTCGATGGGCTCTTCAAACAAATACTACTCTTTATTTTCATACACCGAATCGCTGCCAACAACATCGCTATCTTCTGTATCAGAAGCGTTTTTCTATTATGAAAAGAGTTGCGAAGACATGCCACGGAAGCAGAAGGGCAGTGCAGGCTGCAGCACTCTTCGGCAGTACATTAAAATGAGAACGGACAAACAGCGATCTTTGGGCCGACAAGGCTGATGTATAACTCAAACATGGACTCACGGCCCTGGTCCTGGAGAATATTAAAACTTAATATAGCAACCATCAAGCAAGGTAAGTCGAAAAATATGACAACTGAGGCGAATATAAGTTGGGCTTTGCAAGTCGATATGGGCCGCCCATCCCATGAAGTCATGAACAGGGAAAAACCCGACAAAAGCTGAGTAGCTGATTGAATTGAAGTGAAAGAAGTGAAAACTCAGAACATGGAATAAATATTTCAAATTAAAAAATGTTGTCACAACTGTAGTTTCACACGGTACATGGTTGGGCACCAAAGGCAGCCTTTTTCTTTCTTGAGGAGCATTTAATGCATTAGACATCTTAATTTAGTCTGTCATAGTCCCAGTCCCAACCAGGGCCTTAAATATTTGCAACTGCCTCATGTCTCTCTCTAAAGTCTAAACAGTACACAGAAAAGTTTGCAGATTTCTACTTCTTCTTTCTCTTTTCTTGAGGAAGACAACTGACAAATATGCATAACTTCTGTTTTGGGTTTTTAACCGAGTGACCAAATGGTGGGTTCGAACTGAATAGATTGATATTTTATTAAAAATTGATCAAATAGATTGAATTTAAGAATATGGATTAAAAGAATCAAAATTTTGTTATTTGTGTCTTTTGTAAATTATAATATTTAAATTTATAAATTTTATTTATAATTATTAAATATACAAATAATCAAAAGATAAATAAATTAATGCAAACCAGCATAAACAAAAAAAAATTAAACATACATAAATCATAATATTCAACTAAGTAATACATATATATAATATTAAGTTTGATTTTTCGATAATTTAATTTGATAATTTTTTATCGACAAATAACAGAATAACTGAATTTTATTTAAATCGATCACATCATTCGATTTGACCTATTTTGATTCATCCTTAGTTTTCAGTTACTTATCCTTGGATAACAACACATCCACGTCACCATCTATATGAAAACCAAATTTTTAGACATCACTTATTTCTACTTTATAGTACTGAAGTTTTTAGATCAAAAATTGAATGGATCAATCAAACCAAATTGCTTTACCTAAATTTCATTTAAATCGGTTGGATCATTCAATTCGACCCATTTTTCCTCACCTTTAGTTTTCAGCTACCTACCATTGGACATCAACACAACTGTGTCACCATCTATATCCAAACTAGATTTTTAAATGTCACTTATTTCTACTTTATAGAATTAAAATTTTTGGATCAAAAACCAAATAGACCAATCAAATTAAATTATTTTATCCAAATTTCATTTAAATTGATCATATCATTCAATTCGACCCATTTTTACTCAACTCTAGTATCCAGCAACTTACCGTTAGACATCAACGGAGCTGTCTCACCATTTATATCCAAACAGATTTTTAGGTATCATTTATTTCTACTTTTGAGATAAGGAAACAAAACCACCCCACCCCTTCATCTCGTTTCCTACTTTTCTTTGCTCTATATTATCAGTAATGGATTCTCAGTTCTCATTTACAACTACATTTCTCACAATATATATATATAATAAAATAGGAAAATGGACAAAAAGGGAAAAAGGGAATTTGCATATTCTTATGATAGAAAAACTAAACCTATTACAAAATCTAATATTTTTTATTTTTTGAATAAATTGTTGAAAATATTGGTATCTGTCAATGTCCTGTTAACGAAAAAATATCTCCATAATCGAGATAGTATTAATGATTTAATGTCCTACATTAACAATATTTGTAGGCTTGAAATTAAATATTTCCACCCAAAACTTACTGCACCTTTATCATTTAAGCCAACCCAAAATTTGCATTGACCAAATTCATAGTGAAGGTACAACAATTTAATAATAAAAAGCAAATATCAGGACAACTTAATTAAAAGTTTAAACCGTGAAAAGTTGGGGTCAAATACTATCGTATCTTCTTACTATTATTTCTTTTCTCTCCTTTTCTTTGCTTTCAATTAAATACAGTGTCAATGAAGAAAATGACTCATGGTCAAATTACTCCTAAAACTCTGTTCCAAAACTTATACAAAATTTTGAGCGGACGTCCTTGTCAAATTAATGTTAGGGGACCAATCTATATGCAGAGGCATCCAATTTAACTCCAAAAGTTAAAAGGCTAACTTGCCATTTATTTAGATTGTACGGATTTAGGCTTTGGCCGAATTATATATATATATATATATATATATATATTCATATAGAGTAAAATACATTTACTTTCTTAATTTTGACCATAATTACATATGGATCTATTAATTTTCAAAATGAACACTTTAACCAAGATGTATAAATACGGTTAATGCCTAAATGTTAAATGTCTAAAATAAATTTTTTTTCACTCTTTTCCTTTCTCTCAAGCTTGCCATCGACGCTCCCTTACACAAGCTGACCACCTCGTGATCAGATCTGGCCATGGAATGCCAGACTAGATTATAATCCTTAAAAGCGGTTTTGTGGTTCACTTCCAAAATGCAGTCATTATTAGTAAAAATTGAATGATATAATTTTGTTTCAATGAGTTTACATACTTATACTAGATTATAATTAAAACTAGGCACATCAAAAGCACCATGCAAAATCAAATTTGTTGGCAATTTAACGTTTGCAATGTGTGTGACAATGGCCCTAGTTTTATTTGGCATCTGTACAAATACATCTTTTACTGGTATGAATGAAATAAAAGTAATTTAATAAACAAGCTTTATGATCAAATGCACCTGTATCTACAATCTAGGAATGTTGATCAAATGCATAAAAGGTATGTTGATAAAATGTATGAACATTAATATTAAGTGATTCATCAAATAGTGAGCTATGTAAAATGAAACAAAAAGGCTTGATAAGTTTACTTACTACTTTTGAATTGACAATAGATGTTTTGTGTGAGTGAGGATTCATACCACTATTACTTGAAGAAGGTAGATTTGAAGAAGATAGGTCATCGCCAGTGTCATATTCTTGCTTATTGATAAAGACCATGGGTTTTTGATATTTGACTATTTGTCAGAGACAATTGAGACAAGGTATTAGCATATTCCTCATGTTCATCAGATTGTACATTGGCCATAATGTTTTTAACTATTAACAAATTTCTTAGGATCATTCCTTCCTTTAGTGATTTAAAATCAGGTGGAAATTGATTATTTTATAATATTTTTCCTTCTCATGTCCTAGTTTTTCACAGTGAGAACTAGTCATATCATTCTTATTCTTCTTTTTCCCAATTGAAAAATTGGCTATAGTTGATTTCTTCAGGACAGATTGAGTTTGCAAGTGAATATCCTTCTATGATTCTTCCTAACAACTAGATTGTAAACCTTATCCAGACTTGGAAATGGTTTCAACACTTGAGATCTTACACCAACAAATGACTCATTAAGACCATTCAAAAATCTAAAAATATCATCCTTAGCACTTTGATCAACAAACTTCTGAAAAACACAATGGATTGCAATTTCCACAACTACATTAGGGTAAAGGCATGAAGTTTCTCAACTCTTCCAAATAGCATTTAATATTTTGAAGTATGAATCAATAGATTTAGTACCTTGTCTAATGTTTGATAATGATTATTGTAGATTGTAGATTCGAGAGTCATTTTGTTGAGAAACCTTTTCTTTAAAGTCTCCCTAATTTGATCGGCTAAATTCAATGTAGAAAACAGTAGCAACAATTTGAGGAGAAATAGATTCGAGAAGCTAAGCAACAATGAGATTATTGCACATCGTCCATGTCATGTACAACTCATCAGTGACAATTCGTTCTTTGATCATTCCATCAATAAATCTAGCTTAATTTCTTATTGATAAGGCTAGCAAAGAGGATTGTCTCCATGAAGTATAGTTTTTTGCAATGAGTTTAGGGTTAATTACTGCCAATCCATGATGATCGAAATGATGGAGGAAAAACAGTAATTAAAGATCTTTGATAAAGGAAAGAAAAAATTTAAGATGCTAAAGAAAGCATCATAGTAATAACATTAATTGATGCAACTATTTACAAGTAAAGTAATTATCATTTAACTGCAAGTATGTGCAAAGTGTCACAGATCTCATATTAATAAAAGATAAGATGGGTCTTAGGTTTATGAATAAGGGCCTTCCTCCATTTAATAAGCATGTCTTTTGATATGAAAATGTACATATGCTCTTTGCATATGCTTGTGTCATGGGCTCATATGTTTTCAACCCAAAAAACATGTTTATTAAATGAATAAAAGGTCTTACTTATTAGTTCAAGACTTATTCCATGTTTTACTGATGTGCGGGTTTATAACACCTTGATAATGCCTCTATTTAATTAAGTGATAGGTAACAAAAACAAATTATATTTGCTTAAAATATAACAAATAGCTAATAATGGATGCACATGCTTTTCAATATAAATAAAAAAATAAATAAAACAATGGATGCACATTAAGGAAAAAATATGGTTGAATATACTCCTAAAATTTTCATATAATAAAAATTTAATTTTTAATAATAACCTTAACTTATGCAACTATTTATAAGTAACATAACTATCATTCAACTGCAAGCATATGCAGAGTATCACGAATCCCACATAAGTAGGAGATGAGGTGGGTCTTGGGTTTATAAATAAGTTTCTTTTTCCACCTATCAGATATATTTTTTAAGTTGAAAATATGAGTCTATAACAAGTGATATCAGAGCAAACCTAAATTTTCATTGACACAGAGCACATACTTGCACATGTCTTCATTTAACTAATAGCATTGGCTAATGTCTCTATTTAACTAATGGCATGTGCTCTTTACATATGCTTGTGTCACAGACCATTTGTTATTAATGTGGGTTTTGTGAGAACTTCACATGCTTCTTTTTAACTAAGAGCATGTGCATATAGCTAATAAAAACAAATTATATTACCTTAAAAAATAACAAATAGCTAATAATTGATT